TGTTTTTCGTAGGAAAAATTTTGCTGACCCAATCATTAAAAAGTCAAAACATTTGTAACCCATCCTCGAATATCAATCAAAAAATAAATACCCACCCCTGGCAAAAAACTTTACAAAAGGATACCAGTCAGTTGTCACACATGTCCTTTACCACTCCTGTGACATGAGTTTGATAACGACTTGTGAAAGTTTTTGCAGTCTAAAGTTTCATACTGTCTGCACATGTAGTTTCTTTGGAGACACCATTTGTCTTCCAACAAATCGGAAAATGGTCAAGATAGTGACTCTGATCACATGCTATGATAGATTCACATATTGTATTCACTGACATATCACAGTTGACATTGCTTTTCAGTCTCCAATACAGTATTTGAGTGAGTCATGCTTTAAAAATAACAACATTTTTTTATTACCCAACCCTTGGGTTGTTTTGTTTTTCATTTACCTATCCTTTGACTTACCCAAAATTTTGTTTACCCAACCCTTTTCTCTTCGGTGCCACCCCCCCCCCTCCATAAATAATGACCGCTCCCTAAGGCCGAGGGAATTAAAGTCATAGAATACCGTCCTTATAATTTAAAAAATACATGAGGCTTTTTTCATTATTCATTATTCATTATTTTTAGAAATGTGTGAAAATTGGTCGAACGTCAATAAACCTGTTCAGTAATATGCCAGCAATCTTTAAAACTAGGCAACGAATGTCTGCGTAGTGAAAGCTTTGCTGTACAAGTAGACTTTGCCCTAAGGGGGGTGGGGGGTACACATGGATTGATGGCCATTTTTGAAATGGCTGTAATTTTAAAGATATTCACCAGAGTTATGACAAACTATATATCAGTAGAAAGCTTATGACATATAGAAATTAAAAATACTAATCACTAGTACCTAACGTCCTTTGTAACCTGACACCAGGCCGGCAATCATACCACATGCTGTGCAAAACTAGGGTGCATTTGAGAAAACATATCTGCTTATAAATTGCTTGGAATTTTAAAAAATTTTATCAGTAAGTAGTATAGGCATCATTATCTTAAATGAGCATAGAACTTTTTTATATGATAAATCTAGTGGTCACAGCAGAGGTACAAAGTTAACATAGGTTTTTTCGATAATATTTTTTGTCATAAAATGTATTCCACACAAGATACAGAAATTTCCTATGCTTAATTAAGACAGCTCTAATAAAAGAATAAGCCCTGAATATTTCAGGACAATTGGTTAAATACATCATAAGATATCTTTTCTCAATGAGGGAAAATGTACATTCCGAGAAAACAAATGTTAAAGTTTTTAAACAACTGTTCGAGCTGTTCCTGACAGGTTTCAGGGACTTTAGCCTAATTTTTTGTCATTAGAAGTACTTTTAGCACTTCAGAAGCCTCCAGCCTCATAGGTTGCCCCTTCTGCTTCTCATAGAGCTTCTTTTCTCGATTTTCTTTTGGAGCTGCTCCACCTGTCGACGTCTGTTGTTTTTTTCAGATGTCTGGCGGTTAGACTTTCTGACCTGTTTCTTGTCTTTTAAGAGCAAACTTAGTTTTTCCAGCAGTTTGATGTTTGGTTTAAAAGATGTTCCTTTGTGTTAACTTAAATGACTCTATTGGTATAGCTAAATTTTCCATAGTTTTCTTTGCCAAACCCTCTTGCTGGTAACAAGGATGTTTAAAGATGCACACTCCACTCATCGTGCTTACCAAAGGAACATGCAGACCAACATTTACCACAGTTTTTTGTATACGTGAATCAATTGTCAATACCAAATTACATTATTTTGTAAGATAACATTGTCTGTAACTGTATTCTTGTCCTATTGCTGCAAGTGGTACACTCGGTAAACATATTCGGCCCAAAACAAGCTCTCAAACTTGGTACACCTTGACATGTAATTACAGTACCTAAAATGCAGAACAGAAACAACCTCATTAATATTAATACCAAGAAGCATTAAAATAGTAAAATTATAACAATGAAACAAGAAATAATGTATTGATATCTGTACCAAAATTGGGTAGAGAAAATCGATCTCTTGATATCATAATATTGCAAATTTGCAATAATTACTAATTATATTATTAACCCCGTGGATATTCGTCCGACACCGGATCTTCCTGCTTCACGGCTATTCATCCGACAACGCTTTAAAAGCTAACACTAAAACGCTATACGTTTCGTACGCGGTGCGTAAGCGAAAATCACGAAGAAAAAAAAAGTATAAAAAAAATAATAAAATAGTGGCGCGAGCAGGAATCGATCCCAGAACTTGGCGCACACAATACGGGTGCCTAAACCATTACACTACGAAGGATTCGCTTGAAATTCAATTAAATTTACGCTGTTTTATTTTTAACGAGTTTTTCGATATGGGCGGACGAATATCCACTTCCTATTACTAATTAACATTTTTGAGTTATTGTATACTAGAATCAATCATTCAATGATAGAAAAATACTTACATCCACAACTTTTAAGTTCATCAGAACAAACGTTTGAAGATCTGTTTATAAGATGTCCAAGAATCCAAGTTGAAGATGACTGTTGATATTTGGCATTGAATGCCATTGAAATAATGCCCGATTATTGCCTGAATGTGTTCACGTTTTATCGTCGTCTTTATAGCGCATTTCTTCACCCCAGCGAATAAAGTTTCGTTTTAATGTTTTCTGTGAACCATTATTAGTTATTTTTAACCATATGTTAAGAAATATATACACAAAAGTGACGCCATACTGGACAAAATTACTTTAGTAGGATTATATACGTAAAACTTCTCTCGCGCGTACATCTTATCTGCATTCTTGCAAGGCTTGAATACACGCGTATAAAACATCATGCTTCGCGTGTAAACCGGCTACTGTGCTAGCCTAACTGTGCGCAATACTTAGAAATATCCCCGTAATACCTGAAAACATCGCCCGGAAACGTTAAACCTCGCCCGTATGACTTCTAAATGTGGCCCGTAAGACTTCTAAATGTGGTCCGTAAGAGTTCTAAATGTGGTCCGTAAGACTTTTAAATGTGGTCCGTAAGACTTCTAAATGTGGTCCGTAAGACTTCTAAATTAGTCTTGGCCGTAATTTAATATGAAAGTATTATATTTAAGTAAAACTGTCTGTACCAGTGTTGATAGTACCAATGTGAAAATGCTGTGCTGAGTGGTTATATTACTACCTTAAAAATAAGCAGAAACTCGACGTTTCGAGCGAAGCCGAAGGCTCTTTATACCAATACGTATCATGGGATGAACCCCCCCCCCCCCGCCCCCCTCGTGAAATTGTCTTCCCGTGAATATTTCCAAAAATTGCTGTCAACATGCTACCCTGGGTGCCAGAGCCTCTTGTGATAGAAGTGAGGACACAACAAGGAGGCTCTGGTCACACGAGCATCCAGCCTCACTTTGGTGAGTTCAATATTTGAACTCTGTTTGTGATTGGTCTAAATTTATGCGAGTCTTTTCATGATTAACCAATGCTCATCGGTTAACCAATGAAAAGACTCACATAAATATTGACCAATCACAAACAAAGTTCAAATATTGAACTCACCAAAGCGAGGCTGGATGCTCGTGTGACCAGAGCCTCCTCGTCGTGTCCTCACTTCTATCACAAGAGGCTCTGGCACCCAGGGTATCAACATGCATGAGAGGAGACGAAAATGCAAAAATTTCCGAAACACATTTTGAAAAAGTGTGCTTGATATAATCGGTGATATTTACTGTAGCTCTATTTCTTTCAATGCCCGCAGCAATCCCTACCCTGGTATTCAAAATATCCATAACATGTATCTATAAAGAATATAAAACTATCAAACCACAGAATCGAAATCCTAGTCCACAGAATCGAAACTCATGCATTCCAAGTAATTTTGCAAAATTCTGTTTGTTTCTAGCCTGCGCGCAGACTATATAATGACATATATATATATGTTTGTAATTGTTTTGTTTTCATGTTAATTAAAGTCATTACAATTTCACATTTCTTTATTTAAAAGTCTTAAGCCTGGTTCACATTAGTGGTAAACATCGGCGATGCCCATTGTCGGTGGTCATTGATGCATAAAATATTTTGTGAATTTTCTTCTTCGTTGCTCACAGACAATGGATCGTAGAACATCGCCGATCAATGTGAACCAGGCTTAACGCACAGAACGTTCGAGTTTATAGACAACATGTAAACAAGTATTATGTTATGTAAACAAGTATTAATAATTATATTAACAAATATTATGTTATGTAAACAAGTATTAATAGTTCGAGTTTATAGACAACATGTAAACAAGTATTATGTTATGTAAACAAGTATTAATAATTATGGCGTCAGGTGAAGGCGTTCTGATATGTGCTCTTGTAATTATCACGATTTTTACGGTTAATAAAGCCCAATTTATAAGCAGTGATTGCATTGGAATAATGATGAATGATTCTGCTGAGGTTGTATCTACAAACGAAACGCATACATACTCATCGCTGTGGAATATTCGAGCTTACTTTAGCATTTCATGTCGTAAGCAAAGAGTAAAGGCAATGATTTTCCTTCTACTATTGTGTGGTGATATTGAAACCTGTCCAGGTCCTTCGAATTGCTGTAATTGTCAGAAGATTATTAGAAGTAACCAAAGCAATATAAGTTGCAATGATTACAAAGGAAATCCCATCTGTGTCTGTTCTGAATGCTATGAATCCAATATGGCCTCCTCGGGAAATAACAATCAACTTGGAGAAGGTATGTCTGATGACCCACCAGCCTTAGAGGAACTACTTAACCTTGTTAGTTCAAAGGGAATAAAGTTATTACACCAGAATATCTGTGGTTTGGCTACAAAATATCCACACATCGAATTTATTCTCAAAAACTATAAGGATATTCATATGTTTACTTTGAGTGAAACGCATTTGCATGAAGAAAATATTCAATTATTGCCGAGTATTCCCGGGTATTCAATGGTCTATAGAAATCGGACAAATGGAAACTTTGGTGGTGTTGCTGCTTTTATAGCAGACCGAGTTCAATGGCTGAGAAGACATGATTTAGAAAGTCCCCATTTGGAATGTCTGTGGATTGAAGTTTTACTCAAGAATACCAAAGGTTTCTTGATTGGGACTCTCTATAGGCCTCCAAATGGTTCAAAGTTTTTATCAAAAGATTTCCCTGCCTATTTTGATGATATGCTAACGTCAGTAGCAGCCGAGAATAAAGAAGTGATTCTAATGGGTGATATAAACTGCAATTTCTTAAAGAAAAGCAATGATGCAGATATTAAATCTATAATAGATGTTAATGGTTTAGAACAAATGGTTAAAGATCCCACGAGAATTACTCCTGAGTCTTCGACACTAATTGATGTCATCTGTACAAACAAGCCCCAGAATATTAGTAAGGTTGAAGTAATATCTGCAAGCTTGAGTGACCATGAAATGATCGGCTGTGTGCGTAAACTAAACAACCATTCATTTAAAGCCCGTACTATCGAAGCCCGTGACTATAGGAATTATAATCATGAAGATCTATGCAATTCTTCGACAATCCAGTTTTGATTCAGTGTTCGCTTCAAAAACAGCTGAATCAGCATGGGAAAATTTTAAACACATTTTTCTTTCTGCTGTTGACAAATATGCCCCACTAATTAGAAAGAAAATCCGTGGTCGCCCTTGTCCATGGTTACGAAATGAAACGAAGCGTGAAATGGCCGAACGAGATTGGCTGTTAAAGAAAGCTAGGAAATCAAATGCTGAGAATGATTGGAGTAAATATAAAAGAAAACGAAATCGTGTAAACAATCTAGTCAAGATGAATAAAAACCGCTATTACAAAGATTTACTGAAGGAGAATTCCAGAAATCCAAAAAAGTTTTGGAGTACCATAAAAGAAATTTTTCCTAATAAGTCGGCAAAGTGTACTGGACGATCATTTCATGCTGATGGCAAACTAATTACGCATAGTAATTGTATAGCAAATGCATTTGGGTCATTCTTCTCGACTGTCGTAGACAACCTAAAACGAAAATCCCGTCCTCTGAAAGACTTTGTTTGGGGTCATCGGCATGTACCCATTACCCAAACTAACTTGAGCTTTCAGTTTATACCAGTCACTGAACACCACATAGAAAAGAAATTGAATCAATTAAAACGATCAAAAGCTGCTGGTATTGATAATATCCCTCCTGGAATACTTAAGGACTGTTCGACTGTTGTGAAGGATCCTCTGGCACATATAATAAATATGAGCTTATGTACTGGAGTTATACCTTCCGAATGGAAAGTGGCTAAAGTCATCCCAGTTCACAAAAAAGGGCCCATCAATGATTTTGACAATTACCGTCCTATATCGATATTACCGGCTGTCACAAAAGTCAT